CATCTGACATACTTTGGACATATTACAAGGAGGGACCAGTCCTTGGAGAGGGACGTCATGCTCGGGAGGGTGGAGGGACAGCACAGGAGAGGAAGACCCTTGATGAGAGTGACTAGGGTAATCGGGGTGAGTGTATCGGAGGCAATGAGATTGGTACAGGACAGAGCAGAGTTTAGGGCTGTTGTACATAGGGTCGCTATGAGTCGCAAGTGACTCGAAGGCACATGACAATAACAACAACAACAACATATCCATACTTCTCCAAAGATGGAATCTGTTGTCTGAGTAAATTTTTTACTATTATTTTATCATCTCAAAATTAGGGTCCTTGGGTAGCTGAAACAGTTATCTACTACTAGCTATTAAACAAAAGTTTTGAGCTTTGGACCCATCATGAGACACTTCAGAATAAAGACTTTCTCAAAAGAAAGTGTTAGGTCTGGATCGGGGAAGAATGAAGAATTCAAAGAATACACACTTCAACCAAAAGAGTAAAAAGCCTCACCCACCTGGCAGAACTAAGGTATGAACCATAAATCACAATGGAATGTCCCTCCTTTCCCTCCCTAAAGACTCTGTTATTAAAACCATCCCTGATTCCTTCAAAGTGTGCCTTCTTCCTTCTGCATCTTCAGAATGAAGAATCTTACCTGGGAGCCCTCCTAATAAAGCTAATTTTAAGCTTTCTCTCTTGTTCTCTGATATTTTTCTTAAGTCCACAGCCTAGAAAAAAATCTAAAATGTCATAATCTTTGAGAACAACAGGGAGCAGGGGTCTGCTTTGACATACATGAGGTCATCATGAGTCAAAATCAGCAAGACAACCTCTGCTTTACATATAAATTAGAACAGGACCATGGGTTAAGGTAAATAGCCAGTTAAGAAGTGTGAATAATGCACACAATCCAGTTTACTAATTATTTTTGTTTTACTCAACAAATATTTGGTTTACTGTTGAACTTCTTTACTGGTACCAGATCTTATGGGTCTACCTCTGCAGTCACAATCAATTTTTAGTTATAAAAGTTTAGCTCACAGTATGCTCAACTGGAGCTGAGATCTGTAAACTGCTTTCTGTAAAAAATCAAAAAAGGTACAACAGTTCAAAGTTTTGTTTCTAACAGAAAGGTTAATAGTTCAATTTTACCAAGAGGCTTCATGGGAGAAAGACTTGACAGTGTGTTTCCATAAAGATAATAGCAGAGGAAACCTTGTGGGACACTTCTCTCCTGTCACACGGGGTTATTCTGTCACATGAAATCAACTCAACAGCACAAAGCAGTAATTGCTTAGTTCCTGTCACAACCGCTCCACTCCTCTGTGGTTGAGCAGCCACATACAATAGACAGCAAATGAATATAGTTGTGTTCTAAAAAGCAAATGTGGGCTTGGGAAGTTGGGGACCCCTATCGATCAAAATGGAAAATTATCTTAAATAAGAAAAAATAACCGATCATAAAATGCAAACAAGCAGTAGGCTGGATATGATCCCTGGTTTAGGGAACAGGCATAATTCTAAGAACTGAAGAAAAGAGGAGGCTCTCTAATTGCACATTCAGGAAGCCTCACTAGAGAAGGGGTGGATGCATTTTATTTGTCATATGTGGACATGTTATTACATAAGTCGGTATGTTGTTATATATGTGAGTATGTTTTTATATGTGGACATGTTATTACTATTTAATATATAACATTATTTTATATATACATTTACCATGTAGTTGGGAGTCTTCTACATAGTATTTTGGAAAAACACTGAGTTGGTTGGAAGCCAGGAAATCTGAGTTCTAGTACTATCTCAGCCACTAGCTTAACATACGGCAAACTACCCTCTCGGAGTAAAAAAATCTTAAACATCTTCCAAAAGAATAAAAGGATTGGAGAATCTCCAAAGACCCTTTGACTCTCAGTTTTTATTTTGTTGCAAAGATGTCTAAGAAGAAATAAAAAGAAAATAAACACATGAGATAAAATTATGACAGGAATTAGCCTGGAACCTCTTAATTTAGCCCACATAATCAATCAAAGCATTGGGACAAACATGTAGTGGGAGGGTTCTGCAGGCAGAAGGCCACCTGAGTGAGAGGCAATCCACAGGTTGCCACCTCAAAACAAGTTGGGAAGTCACAGTAAGAAGCCTGCATCTACAGATGTGTGGAATGAGAAGACTTCCACTTCAGTTCACTTGAGTATCATGAGCAAAGCTTCCTTATGACCTCACAAGGCTTGTGGACATTTCAGAAAAAATTACCGAAGAGCAGAACCCTGTGTGTTAGCTAGGCTTTAGGTATCAGGGAATATCACTGCCTAGAACTGTCCATTTCCTAAACTAACTAGCACCCAGGAAGGTCATTGTATTTATTCTCAAAGAGTGGCATTCGGGATAGATTATCATTGGATACTGGATCTGAGAGGTCAAGTGGTTTACAAACCATGCTCTTCAGCGACCCCTGTAGGAGAGTTCAGGAACAAGGAAGAGTTCTTGCTTACATCAGCCACTCATTTCTATTTGATTCACAGATTGGATGGCTACCATAAAACACATTCTGGTCCTACTACATTGTTACACATGGGATAACTGAGTCTCAGAAGGAGATAGACATGAACGTGACTGTTGTGGGAGCTCAGAGTAGGTTTTCTCAGGCATGAGAAGTTCATAGTCATTTTCTAGGGAAGGTAGATGCTTAGATGTAGGAGAGACACAGACAACTGAATACTCAGTTTCCGTTTTCTTCAAGGCACTTCTGGGTCTCTCAGCCTGGAGGGAAACGTTCTCATAGTGTTCTTCAGCAGTGTTCACCAACGGCTTGTGGTCCTCGTGATTGATCAAAGTGTAGCAGAGTTCCTCCACAGAGGTCTGATCAGCGTTGTCCTGCTGGTGCAAAGAAAACCGGTCTCAAGACTGGACCTCTGGGCATTCCCTTTACACTTCATCTCAAAACAGCGCTGACCCTGAGTAAGGTTTCTCTTCCTCCATTATTCCACCTTCTACTGCACCTATTACCCCTGGTAGATAGATAGAGGACCTGTGCCGTTCAGAGACTTGCTAGGCTTGTGCAATTTGTTTTCTGTTCTGGAATTACCCTGCCCAACCATTTAATCCCCACTGTTTAGAATTCTGTGGCGAGTTCATGCTTATAAAAAGGAACAGTCACTTTACTGTGACTGGGCTATGATATTTAAACACTCATTTTAGAGATATTTACATTAAGGAAAAATAAACCATGCACAGAAAGTTTTCATTCATGCCTCCATCTAGTGCATGTAGTTTACCAAACTATCATTGCAGAAAAAGGCTCAGAGATGTTCTCCTTACCTGAGTGGGAGCAGCAGTCATTTCTTCAACTGCAAAGAGGGAAAAAAAAATACTCTGAATTTTGTGCGCTGGAAGAGTTGATATACACAACCAGAGAGCTAAGGCTGTCTCCTGTATGTACTTGGGAAGTGACAAGTCCGTTTACACATGAGACAGAACACCTGTACTGAGATTTTTCATTCCTTCTTCCTTCTTTTCTTTCATTTTTCTGTACCTTCCTTCCACAAATTTTATTGCATACTGATGCAACAGCATCTAACGACAACAACAACAACTCTGAACCAGTACTGCAATGATAAAAAGACTCAGAAGTAGTCCCAGCTTCAAGGGCTCCCAAGCTAGCATAGAAAAGAGAGAGGGGCTCTGAGAGAGCAGCAGTGCAGAGAGGAAGGTGCTTTTCTACTGAATGTGGAAGTGTTCTGCCTTCTAACACCAAAACTTCCAACAGTTCTGCCTTCTGACACCAAAAAATGCAATCTTGGAACAGAAAAAGCAGATGATTAATAATATGGTAGTATATGGGAGGGAGCTCTGGTGGTCTAGTAGTAAAGAGTTGTGCTACCAACCCAAAGGCAAGAGATTCTAATCCTCTAGCTGAAGGACAAAGATGGGGACTCTCCTTGCATGTGGTTTACAACCGCTGGGAACCTTCTGGTTTCAGCTATGAGTTGGTTTTGACTGAATGGCACATAACAACAACAACAGTATATAGGAGACAAGAGGGTGTGAGCTTCTCAAATTTGGCTCTAGGAAAATATTTGAGAGAGTAATTGCAGATTAAGTTAAGAGTGTAGTGAAGATATGTGTATTCAGCACTTTTAAGAGAGAAAGTTGGAAATATCTTAGAAAAGGAGAGAAAAAGAAATAAATAAGAAGGCATGTGCAGCTGGACCTCAAAATGGCATTTTTTTCTGGATGGCATTATCCTAGGACGTTCTCTGTTAGTTTCTTTCTTTCAAGATGGCATTTATCGGGTTAGGTGTTTAGTCATTACAAATCATAGAAGTTTTCTCCCTATGACTGTTCTCTGTAAGTTTATACAGCAATCAATCTTCTTACTTTTCCAATATATTTGGCACCTGAAAGCGCTTATAAGACCCCTAAAACAGGAATTGTGAGCAAAGCTGACAGTAATAAAGAAAGAAATCCTTGGGGGTGCGAGTGAATGCCAGCCTTTATGATCTTAATATCTCAGAGAAAAGTATTTTGCCCTCATGGAAAGAGAAATAAAAATGGAAAACAGGAAAATCTGTTATTTAGAGTAAAAATAGAAGCGTTCAGTTAAAATTTTCTTTCTATTTACTGAAAAGACTTTTCTTATTCACTGAAAAGACTGTCTTTAATAAGGAAGATTTTATCACAAGGTCATAAGATCTTATCTATTAGTTTTCTTTTTAATTGAAATTTTAATGAAAGTTTATAGAAATGTTGGTTTTCCATTCATTCATTGTTGCACATTTTCCTCCCTGCCCATCCCTCTCCCCAGTTGGTTTTTCTCTTTGAAAAGTAAAAAAAACAAAACAAAAAGAAAACCACACCAAAACCTTCCACTATTATACAATCCTCCCACCCCCACACCAGTCTACTCCTCCAAGAAGCTCTCATTCTGGACTCTCGTCATGAAAATAATACCTAATCATATATTCCTTTCAAACAGTATATATTACTTCAAGGCAGTATACATTATTTATCCCCTCTTTTCTTAGATTCTCCCTAATCCCAATGCCAGTCCTCTTTTATAACAGTAACATTATTATTTGTCCCTTTATGATGGAGATATTTCACTAAGCATAATTTCTTCCAGGGTCATCATTTTGTATAATATTTCATGAGTTCCTTGTTTTTCAATGCAGTATAGTATTCCATTGTGTGACCATACCACAACTTCTCTATCCATTCATTTGTTGATGGGCACTTGGGTTGTTTCTAACTCTTCGCTATTGTGAACAAAACTGCAATGAACATGGGTGTGCATATATCAGCTTGGGTGGTAGTTATGGTTTCTTTATGGTATATTCCCAATAATGGAATTGCTGGGTCAAATGGTATTTCTATTTTCAACTTTTTGAGAAGACTGATTTCCATAGTTGTTGCACCATTTCAACAGTAAATAAGGATTCCAGTTTCTCCACAATCTTGCCAGCATTTGTTGTTTGCTGTTCTGTCAAATTTTGCTAATCTTACTGGTGTGAGATGATATCTCATAGTTGTTATGATTTGCATCTTTCTTAGAGCTAGGGATTTTGAACATTTTTCATGTGCTTCTGAATGTCTTCTTTGGTGAAGTGTGTGTTCATAATGCTGTGCCCATTTTGCAATTGGGCTGTTTATCTTTTTGTGGTTCTCGAGTATTTTATAAATTCTAGATATAAGTCCCTTATCAGACATGTCATTACCAAATATTTTTCTCAGTCTATGACTTCCCTTTTTACCCTGTTGGAGAAGGTTTTGGATGCCCATAGGGATTTTATTGTTTGAAGGTTCCACTCATCTACTTTATCTTCTGGTTCTAGGTTTTTCAGGATGATTGGAAGACTGTTAATGCTGTGGATTAGGGCTTCTAAAGTTCTTGCAAGGTTTTCTTTAATAAAGTTTATAGTCCTTGGTTTTAGTCCTAGGTCCTTGATCCACTTTGAGTTGGGTTTTGTGTATGGCGTGAGGTGTGGATCTTGCTTGAGTTTTCTGCAGATAGTTTTCCAATTTTGCCAACATATTTGTTAAAAAGGTTGTTGTTTCCCCACTTAACTGATTTCATCTTCTTTTCAAAAATCAATTGTCCATAGATGATAGATGGGCTGATTTCTGGATTCTCAATTCTTTTCCATTGATCTATGTGTCTGTTGTTGTACCAGTACAACACTGTGTTGACCACCATGGCAGTGTAGTAACATTTGAAACCAGGAAGTGAGATGCCTCCATGTTAGTCTTTTTAAGAAGTGCTTTGCTTATTCTGGGCCTCTTTCCATTCCAAATTAAATTGGAGATTGCCTTTTCCATTTCATTGAAGAATGGAATCAGTATTTGTATTGGAATTGCATTGAACGTGCAAATTGCTTTTGCTAATATTGTTATTTTCACAATATTGAGTCTTCCTGTCCATGGGCAAGGTATATTCTTCTGTTTTTTCTAGCTCTATTTTTGTTTCTTGTAGTAATGTTTTGTAATTTTCATTGAATAGATTCTTTGTGCTTTCGGTTAGATTTACTCCCAAGTATTTAATCTTGTGATTAGTTATTGGAAGGGTATTGTTTTTCTTAGGTCAAGCTCTATATTCTCCGTGTCTCTGTAGAGAAATCCAACTAATTTTTGCATGTTGATCTTGTGTCCTTTCATTTTGCTGAATTGGTCAACTATGTTCAGTGGTTTTCTTCCTGAGTCTTTAGAGTTTTCAAAGTATACAATAATATCATCTGCATATAGAGATAATTCTACCTCCTCTTTGCCAATTTGGATACCTCTTATTTCCTTCTATTGTCTTATTGCTATTGCTAAGACTTCCAATACAATATTGAGCAGGAGAGGTGATAGTGGGCATCTTTGCTTAGTTCCTGTTCTCAAACGGAATGCCATTAGTCTTTATCCACTGAGAACAATGTTAACTCTCGGGTTTGTGTATATACTTTTACTATGTTGAGGAAATTGCCTTCTGATCTTATTTTGTCGAGTGTTTTGATGAGGAAAATGTGTTGTATTTTGTCAAAGGCCTTTTCTGCATCAATTGATAGGATC